ATATTTATATATATATATATATATATATATATATATATTTATATATATATATGTTATATATATGTATATACATATATATGATATACATATAGATGTATATACATATATAAGTGTATATACATATATATGTATATATATATATGTTATATATGTATATACATATATATGTATATACATATATATGTATATACATATCTATATATACATATATATATACATAATATATATACATATATAATATATATATATATATATTTTTTATATATATATATATATATATATATATATAATATATATATATTATTTATATATATATTTATTATATATATATAGTATATAATTTATTATATATTATATATTTATATATATATATATATTATATATATATATATATATATATATATATATATATATATATTATATATATATATATATATATATAATATATATATATATATATATATATATACACACATACATAAATGTATACATATATGTATATCATCATCATTGCGGAGCTAATGCTGACATATAGCGGCGTCCACCCTTTAATTGTACCTGCAAGGATCCCTCTTGACAAGTCGTCAGGCAGGGACTTGGCCCATCCCAAGCTCCTCACGACAGGTTTGATCGATCTGCCCAAGCCACGACTTTCTAGGTCGACCCACAGGCCTCCACCCAGGGTTGTCACGAATAGAGACAACCTGTTCGGCGGGATCATCCCAAGTGAAGCAAGCCAGGTGGCTGTAAAGCCTGAGTTGGTGATCACAGATTGTGTAGGTAATAGGTCCTGTGTCAGTTTCACGATATAGCCATTGGTTGGACAATTGTACAGTATACCCCATGATCAGGTGCAAGGACCTATTACAAAAGGCATCAAGTCGAGACTCCGAGGCGCAGGATAGTGTCCAGGTTTCACTACCGTATAGCAAAACTTGGCACTATCAGAGCCTTGAAGACACGAAGCTTGGTCCTTCTGCACAGGTACCGGCATCTCCAAATACTCTTGTCGAGAGAGTTCATGACCCCTGCTACCAGGCCAATCCGTCTGCTGACTTCATGGTCTGACAGCCCAGAGTTATGAACTACACTACCAAGGTATGTAAAGCTTTCTGTGACTTCAATGTCCTCGCCGCAAGCACTTACCGACTGAATAGGTTCTCCTTATATGTCTCCAAAGTCCTGGACCTTGGTCTTGGTCCAGGAGACCTTTAGACCCAAGGGCTTCGCTTCTAAATGCATCGAGAGCCACCACTAAGGATTCCAAAGACTCAGATAGAATAGCAACATCATCAGCAAAGTCAAGGTCGGTAACCTTGATATTGCCCAGAGTTGCTCCACAATGACTTTGAACAGTAGCTCTGTCCATTATCCAGTCCATGCAAGTGTTGAAAAGCGTTGGTGCAAGGACACAGCCTTGCCTCACTCCTGATCTATCAGGGAAGAAGCTTGACAGGCCCCCACCACACTTTACAGCACTTTCAGTACCAGTATACAGACTTGTTATTAGTCCAATAATCCTTGTTGGAATTCCTCTCAGTCTCAAGATCTCCCAGAGTGATTCCTGATGCACTGTATTGAATGCCTTCTTGAGGTTGATGTAGGCTGCAAGCAACCCACGCCCGAACTCACGACGACGCTCTATAATGACTCGAAGCGCAAGGGTATGGTCTATTGTGGACTTACCAGGAGTGAATCCAGATTGCTCGGGCCTCTGATGCCTCAGTAGGTGATCTCTAATACGTCTCAGAAGGATTTGGGCAAGAACATTGCATGGTATACTGACTAGTGTGATGCCTCGGTGGTTGCTGCAGTCCCATCAGTCCCCCTTCCCCTTCCAGAGAGGGATGACCACACCCCTCAACAGGTCAGGACGAACGGTACTAGACCACCAGATGGCAGCCAGGACAACGTGCAACCCACGCGCCATAGGTTCACCACCAGCCTTTAACAGTTCAGCTGGGATGCTGCATATACCAACTGCTTTACCACTCTTCAGCTTGGAGATCGCCTCCCTAACTTCTGTTAGGGAGGAGCATCCTCACTGATGGGTGGGTCTGGCAGCGGGATCTTGGCACTACCCGCATCCAAGTTAATTGTTGGTGGGTCAACCTGGTACAACTGCTCAAAATACTCAGCCCAATGTTCCCGCACCGCAACAGGATCCGAGATGATCTGACCACTTACTGAGCGAAATGCTTTCACCTGTGAAGAGGGCTTGGAGTTCAGCTTTCTCAGGGCTTGGTATGCAGGACGAAGGTCATTTATTAAGAAATGGCCTTCTACCTCCTCAGCAAGACTCCTGATAAACTGTTCCTTGTCCCTTCTTAACAGGGACCGAGTTCTATGCACCTGGGAAAGTTGCAAATCTCGATCCCCTGCCAGACGAGCCGCTCGACAATCATCTGTGACTTCAGTGTCTCTGCGAAAATTTCGCCTTGCTTCAGGCGTTCACCAATCGTCTCTTGAGCTGCATCAAATGTTTCACGCTTGAAGGTGTCCCACAAAAGTACAGGGTCCGTCAGATTTTCGAGCGCTGTGAAACGACCAGAGACTGCCTCAGCAAACCTCCGGGCACATTCCCCCTCTCTCAGCCTGTCCAAGTGTAACAATCGACAATCATCTGTGACTTCCAGTGTCTCCTGCGAGATGAAATTTCGCCTTGCTCTCGGGCGTTCACCAATCGTCTCTTGAGCTGCATCAAATGTTTCACGCTTGAAGGTGTCCCACAAAAGTACAGGGTCCGTCAGATTTTCGAGCGCTGTGAAACGACCAGAGACTGCCTCAGCAAACCCCCGGGCACATTCCCCCTCCCTCATCCTGTCCAAGTGTAACACCCTGGGGTGATCAATGGTCCGCTGGGGGGTTTTGAAATGGACTCGGAGGGTAGCTACAACCAATCCATGGTCAGTACCATAGAAATGGCCTTCTACCTCCTCAGCAAGATTCCTAATAAACTGTTCCTTGTCCCTTCTTAACAGTGACCGAGTTCTGCACACCTGGGAAAGGTGCAAATCTTGATCCCCTGCCAGACGAGCCGCACGACAAGCGTCTTTGGGATCCAGTGTCTCCTGCGAGATGAAATTTCGCCTTGCTCTCGGGCGTTCACCAATCGTCTCATCCTCAATTTCTGGGACCTAGCAAAATCCCGGAAATGGAGGCTATTCTTGCTGCCAGTATCAGCTCCCGAACCATGGGGACCGACAGACATCTCATAGCCAGCTCGATCACAGCCAGATACCGCATTGAAGTCACCCAGGACAACACGAATATCTCGCCGGGGGCACCTGTCTGACACAGGCGTTAGTTTGGCGTAGAACATCTCTTTCACACTCATATATGTATATATAAATGTAATATATATATATATATATATATATATATATATATATATATATTAATATATATGGGTATATATATTTATATATATTATATAAATATTTATGTATATATATGTTTATACATATTTATGTATATATATGTATATACATATACATACACACACATATATATATATATATATATATATATATATATATATATATATATATATATATATATATATATATATATATGTATATGAATATTTATGTATATGTATATGATATTTATGTATATATGTATATATATGTATATATATACATAAATATGTATACATCATTCAAAGATAACCTGGTGTGCAGGAATATCCTGTGAGAAAACAGTCATGAATTATGCAAGCAACAGGTTTCACTATTGCATAGTAAATCTGGCATTATCAGGGCCTTACTACAAAAGGCATCAAGATGAGACTCCAATGCACAAGATAACGTCCAGGTTTCACTATCGTATAGTAAAATTGGCATTATCAGGGCATTGAAAACACATAGCTTGGTCCTGCATAGGTACTGGCATATCCTAATATTCTTTTCAAGAGAGTTCATAATCCCTGCTGCTAGGCCAATCCGTCTGCTGACTTTCTGAGTTATGAACTACACTACCAAGGTATGTAGAGCTCTCTGTGACTTCAATGTCCACGCCGCAAGTGCGTACCAACTGAATAGGTTCTCCTAGCAAATCCCCAAAGTCCTGGATCTTGGTCTTGATCCAGGAGACCTTTAGACCTAAGGGTTTCGCTTCATTGCTAAATGCATCCAGAGCCACCAAAGGTTTCCAAAGACTCGGATACAATAGCAATAGCATCAGGTCTGTAATCTTGCTCCATAATGACTTGATGACTTTGAATAGTAAGTCTGCCCACTATACAGTCCATGGGCGTTGAAAAGAATTTGTGTAAGGACACAGCCTTGCCTCAGTCCTGAACCAACAGGAAAGAAGCTGTACAGGCTTGCTATTACTCCAATAATCCTTGTTGGAATTCCTTTCAGTCTCAGGATCTCCCAGAGTGATTACCGATGCATTGTGGCGAACACCTTCTTGAGGTCGATGTAGGCTGCAAGTAGCCCACACCCGAACTCACAACGGCGCTCTACAATGAGTCCAAGCGCAAGGATACGGTCTATTGGGGACTTACCAGGAGTGAATCCAGATTGCTTCAGCCTCTGGTGCCTTAGTAGGTGGTATCTGATACTTTTCAGAAGGATGTGGGCGAGAACCTTGCCTGGTATACTGAGTAGTGTGATGCTTCGGTGATTGCTGCAATTCCATCGGCCCCCCTTCCCCTTCCAGAGAGGGATGACCACACCCCTCAATAGGTCAGGAGGAACACTACTGGACCGCCAGATGGCAGCCAGGACAGCATGCAATCCCCGCGCCATAGGTTCACCACCAGCCTTTAACAGTTCAGCTGGTATGCCGCATATAGCTGCTGTTTTACTATTCAGCTTGGAGATCGCTCCCCGAACTTCAGTTAGGGAGAGTGGATCCTCACTGATGGGTGGGTCCGGCAACGGAATTTCGGCACTCCCCGCATCCAAGTTAACTGTTGGTTGATCAACCTGATATATCTGCTCAAAATACTCAGCCCAATGTTCCCACACTGTAACAGGATATGAGACAAT